TAATAATATGAATTAAAAATAGAATTAATAATAAATTAAATTAATTAATATAAATTACTTATTTATCTGATTTAGTAATGATTGACAATTACTGCGCCACATGTTGTGGCTATGCCATTTACTGTGCCGCATCTATTATGCCACACAAATAAGCTAATTGATTACAATATATTAAATTATAACTAATAAACTTTATTTTAATATAAAATAAAAATTATTTCTTAATAAAATTATAAATTTAATATAGAAAGAAAATTTTAATTTTCACTATGTTTTATTAATAAATTTAGTCTTTGAGTTATTATTTTTGGTTATTACTATATAAAATTTAATAAATTATATTTTAATAATTCTTTTATATATTTAATTTTTTTAAAAAATTTATTTATTTTAAAAGTTATAAAAATTCTAATTAGATTTTCTAAATTTTTTTATTAAAATTACTAAAAAATTTAATTTATTAATAAAAAATTAATAAAAAAATTTATCTTTAAAAAAAATTATTTTTAAATATATTATATTTATCTAATTTTTATTTAATTTTTATATTAAATTATAATTAAAATTTTTATAATCTTTTTTTAATATTTATTTTATTATTATTTAAAATTAAATTATTATTAATTAATAAAATAAATATTTATATTATTATTATAAAAATAAAATAAAAATATTTATATATTATATAACTTTATATTAAATAATATATATACAGTGGTAATCAAAAATAATGCAATGCTTAAATTTTTTACTAATTATAATTAGTAAAAAATTTAAGCATTGCATTATTTTTGATTGCCACTGTATATTATTTTTTATTATTTTATTATATATTTTATTTATTATAATTTTATATAAATAGTTTTTTTAAAAAAAAATATTTATATATTATTTTAATAATATATAATATTAATATATTATCTTAATAATATATAAAATATATTATAATTTTAATCTTTCTTTTAATAATAATATAATTTTATTTTTTAATATGAACTTTATAAAAGATAACTTCTAATTCTAATATTATAAAATATTTTTAAATATTATAATTATTAAATCAAAAATTTGTATTTCTTATTTTATAAGTTATTTTCTTTGAAAATTAATTTTTTTTTAAATCAAACTAAAATAATTTAATATATATTTTCTAATAAAAATAAAATTTAATTAAAAAATTTTTATAATAACTTTATAATTAGAATAATTTTTAGAAAATATTTGAAGAAAATATATATTAAACTATATTATAAAATTTAATTTAATATAGAAATAAAAATTATTTCTTAATAAAATTTAATATAAAAGAAAATTTTAATTTTTATTATATTTTATTAATAAAATTAATTTTTTAATATTATAATTATAAGAGTTATCATATTTTATTTATTAATGATAAAGTTTTATATAATTTTTATTAATTATTTTTTATTAATGAATAAAAATTTATTAATTTAGTAAAGTTTTATATAATGAATCACGAAAGAATTCTGACTGCGTGTTATAATACATTTGCAATTCGGCACTTATTTTATCTATATCTTTAATGAGTAAATTTGGATATGACTACAGATTTGGTTCATAATCGAATATTCAAATATAATAACTACCTTTATGTAAATTGAGGAGGTACATGATACGAAGAAAGGATGCTTATAGAAATCTTGTCCACATCGATGTATTATTGAATATACAATTAAATTGCAAAAAATATATTTCTATAAATTTCCTACTACACTAAAATATTGTCTCAATGCATCTGCCAGAGTCTCAGGCAACGCATTAATATCACGCAAGACTACATAATAGTCAAATGGAAAAGTGTCTAAATATTTTTGCATCCTAAGCATCATTCGCCCATCAACTTGACTGTATTTAACATGATTCATGGACATAATAGAATCCTTCTCATTTGGTTTATTGTCCACGATAATGAAGATAACCATAATTTGAGCTTCGGCCGCTTGTCTGACCAACGTTTTAAGACTTGCGTGATCTTCACAAACACCATCAGATATTATGATTTGTAATTGCCAAAGTTCGGTATTTCGTGATGCACCACCATTTGTACCTATATTATTGACTCTTGCGTGTTTCAGTAGGCCTATCGTAGTATCCATTAATGACCTGACGAGTGTTTTATCCTGTTCAAAGGTAAACTGTTGTAGTACTTTTGCACCCGCGTCCGCAGTAAATGGTTGGTCGAAAGGATGCAAGATACGAACATCTTTGCCGAAATTCACAATTGAGATGGCACCCACTTCAAGTTGTGATAAAGCTTTAGAAATTAAAGCAAGAGTTTCGTAGGCAAGTTGTATCGAGTGAGTTTCACACATAGATTTTGAATCGTCAACTGCAATCATTACTTGATACTGTCGTTTACTTGGTTTTGTACGTCGAAGCCAAATTTTGTCTTTTTTAAAGTCACTGGCGATATAGGGAATAATTTTTTTCATGTTGAGCCGTTTTCCCGTTTTGTAATCACCTTTAAGTCGCGTGGCCATTGTCGGTTCGAGAATTAATCGAAGTTGTTCGCAAAGGCCATTTGCAAGATCGTGTGTTAGACTGTCGTATTTTTGCCAGAGGTCTCGAGCCTGAACGACATCACGACCATTTTCACGCCATTCTGATAATTTCATTTCTAGGTGATCTCGCATACTAGCAAATTGTTCTTGAGGAATTGGCGCATGAACTATATTAGACATGTCCATATTTTGAGAAACAGCTTCTTCCTCTTCATGATCATCATTACTTTGATGAGTGCCTGAATCTTTTTTTCTTTTGTTTAGAATAGCTCCTCCCATTCCATCTTCGACCGCGTCCTCAGAATTCTGATACATATCTTCGTCATCATCATCTATTGCGCCAGTTATATCCATTTCTCGAGTTTGATCCTCCGCAGCAGGGCCCATTGTCTGCGTATCGTGTGATGTTTCGTCGTCTTTCAGATATTCAAACATCTTTTGATGATTAATGTAACTTTCTGTTTCTTTTTGCTGTTCTTCATGCTCAGATTCGTGATTCTCAGTAACGGAATTATCTATATCAATAATATTGAGTCGTTTGCGCCATTGTTCCATCGCATCGCCTAAACTACGATGGGGATTAATGTCCTGGATTTTTTCTTCAGCTTTTGGCTTTTTACTTTCACCTTCATTATTAATTTGAGTTGTATTTTGATTACATTCGTTACTTGTAATATCCATTTGTTGATCAGCATCATTTTCCACCGAATTATTAGCATCAAAATCCAGAGTACGACTGTCTTTCTGTGTAGATGATTTTTCGAGATTGTTTGGATATAGATCCAATTTGTCTTTAGGTTTTTCTCGATCATCTTTATTTTCATCTTCGTTATCTTTATTATTAATTTGAGTATTTTGATTACATTCGTTGCTTGTAATATCCATTTGTTGATCAGCATCATTTTGCACAGAATTATTAACATCAAAATCCAGAGTACGATTTTCTTTCTGTGTAGATGATTTTTCAAGATTGTTTGAACATAAATCCAATTTGTCTTTAGGTTTTTCTCGATCATCTTTATCTTCTTGTATTATCTCTTCTTCAATTTGCATATCGTCCGATTCTTTTTCATTAGTATTATTATCGTTATTATTGTCATTACTACTCTGCGTAAAGTCCTCTATAGAATCATCATTAACTTTAGCAGAATCATCGAGCGCACTCTCTGAAGTAATTTCTTCTTGTACATTTTTTTCCGACTCCTTCATCTCTGGTTCATCGATATCCATATTACCTAAGGAATCATCCAGGTTTCCATCCGGAATTTGATCATCTTCTGGCTCATTGAGAATGTCGTCATCTTCGTCCATCTTTAAATCCTCTGGTAGCTCTAGAGTTTCAGCTTCTGGAACTTCAATTAGAGATTGTTCATTTCGTTCATAATTATTGTACTCATCGTCCTGTTCAGATTCATTAAACTCTCTTTCCTGTTCTTCCAAGTTTAAATCCACATCTCGATTCGTTTCTTGTTGCAAGTCTTTTTGTTTCTTTGACACATCATCTTGATCTTCATTGTCTTTAGCAACAATCTCAGTTTCGCCATCCTGATCATTCGTTTGTTCGTGATCAATCGTCTTCCGACTATCATCAGCACTTTCAGCAGAATTATCTCCCCACATCTTTTCATCGACAACATCAGGATCAGTATCATCAAGCTTTCCGATTTGTTCATCTAATTCTAATTCCTGACTTTCATTATCATCATCATTGCCATCCTCACTCATTTCTTGTGTATCAAGATCTTCTAGCTCACCTTCGAAATCTTTTTCCATTTCGATCCCTTTCTCTCCTTCGTCTTTCCTTTTCTCTGATTTTTCATGATTATCAATGCCATCTTGGGTACCCAATACTTGTTCTTCATCCTCAATCTCTTCACTCACGTCTTTACTTCCTTCACCTTCTCCAATCCCGGTGCCTTGGACTCCGTCTTGAGCTGCACCTTCACAAGCTTCGCCCTCCTGAGCTGGCATACAAAAACCTTTCGTAAAGATTGTAGTGAATGAATTTATCAACACGTATGCAAGTTTGCATATTGATTTGTGATAAATGAAAAATTGTGATAGATAGTATTGTATAAGTAAAATGTATTGTTTTATGAATGGAAATATTCGTTGAATCAGAAAAGTCAGTAAATGTCGATTTTTTTTGGTATTGATATGGTGGCTGTCAACTATTATAGATAGTTTTTCGTGAATTGCATCGCAGCTATCTATAAAGGCGTTGAGATTCAACTGGGTTATTGTTTTGACGAATGTTTGATGCTCAGATCGAATAAACTGATCAGGCATTTCATCAATTATTTGTGCACTATTTTCATCATTGATATTATTTTTATTTAATGTTTGATTCTCTTGTCTTGTTGCTTTTTTGACTTTTTCCATTTTCAAGAGATTTTGAACCGATAAAAGCACAGCATCAATTAAATCGTTGGTCTTTTGACAAAGATCCAAGATTAAATAAGAATTCTCATCAAAATTTTCATCATCAAGTAAAACTGCATCATTCGAGTGATGATTTCCGCTCTTATACGAGCTGATACAGCTAACAATCGATAAGAGGAAGTGCCGCGATTGAGGAATACGATGGCACAAATTCTCGACGAAATCGTAAAGTAAGTTTATTGTTTCCATATTATTTTGAATTTTGATGATTATATCTTCAGTAATGAAAGCTTTGTGTCCATTGGTGAAAGATGGATTTAATATGACCTGATTATAAATCACGAGAATGTCTTCTCTAACTTTAATGATCTGATCAAGCCAATTTGACAATCGACTCTGATGTTGAGAATCAACTAATCCCACGTCATCCTCACTGTCAGCAAGTTCTTTTTGAATATTAAGAATCAAACAGGTATAAGATAACAAGTTAACCAAATCATCCAAGAATTCTTTGTGTGCACAAAATGCTTTTTCGTCGATTGTATTCAAAGATATAAACAGCTTGGACTCATCATTATTGTTGAATGTGGCATGATACAAGGTATAAATTCTTTCGAACTGAGATTCTGATCCAAAAATATAACTAAATTTTTGTTCGATTTGATGTAACGTCAGTCTTTCCAAAATAATCAAGTGTAAAAAATCTTCAGTGAAACTAAGACCTTTCTGGATCTCTAGAGAGGTCAAATCATGAGACGGATTATTTGCCACATATCGTAGATGCGTCATTCGAGCCACAATTCGATAATAATAATCATCAGCTTTTCTCAAAGATTCAATAGAATCCTGAATTTCTTGATGAACAATGGCAGTAGTTGTGATTGTTGATTTCCATCTTTTTGATTCCATGATCTTTTCAAAATTTAATCGTGGAAGTTGAAGCAAATAACCAACCAAATTTTGTTGCTGTTCAACGCGTTTATTTTTAATGAAAGGATTGAGACCAAGTCTTTTCAGCTCTTTTAAAAGATCAACCAAAGCTTTCTTTTTGATCATCTTCAGAGCCTTCACTGAACTTTGATTTTCATCATTCATTAGAGCCGGCGTCTCCTCTTGAAGTGATTTAATTCGTAAAATAATTTGTGTCGCAAATTTATCGAGAGTTCCTTGACAAGATGGACGTTTTACAAATATATCATTGATGCAATAAGAATAAAGTTTCTCAAGAGTTTGATTAACATTTGTAAATCTTTCAGGTGTTGCTGAAACGCGTTTACTATCCAACCGACTTAACAATTCCTGAATCTGTGGAGGTGGTTGGTCAACAGGCAAGAGGTTAGAAACCCAATTTTCTTGATCGGAAGAGAATTCTGGAGATTTTATTATCGAGATGGTATTGTCGGATGACGAACTAGATTGATATGTGACGATAATTTCGGTAATAGGTTTATCCAAAACTTGCTTATACTTTCGAATGCATTTACTTAGATGTCGATGGGTCTTTTCTGCACTCTTTTTCAATGCGTAAATGTTGACATCTTTCCAACTTGCGAGTTTGACAAAGTCTTTTAGATCTTTTTCGATTGGCTTACGCATTTCTTCCAAGCTTTTACCATGTTGAGTTAAAAATTGTGAATAATATTTGTAGACATTATACAAGGCGTCGGCTGCTTGATTATAGTAACTCGAAATGGTAGTTGCTGCTTCTTGATCATCTCTCTTCTGTAACGCTTTTTGGAATTCAATATTTACACACAAGTGTAAATAAAAAGAATGAATTAAATCAAGTCGAGCCTGGAAATCTCCCAATTTCGAAGACTGTAAAAACTGATCAAGCGTCTCAACAATTTGCGTAATATGCTTTGTAATCTCTTCTTTCGCAAAAACTTGACATTCGAATCTACCAATTGCGGGAGAAACAACACAATTGTAAAGATGAAACCACCATTGATATACAGATTCAGCATAATATTTATCTTGAGCAGCCAACAAATTTGGCCAGCAATTCAACTCTAATTGTCGCCAAGCAATAATAAGACTGGTAATTTGATCGAGTTGAATTTGAAGCGAGACTCGACTACTCGCGTAAGCTTCCCATTCTGCGGATTTTTGTAAGAGCAGTTCAAGACCTGTCAAGAATTTGGCAATTGGTGAATTCAAAACAAAACTTTGGATTCGTATGCTGATCTCGTAAAGTTGTAGTAGGACGGCATGGTCCGGCCATTCTTCAAGTAAATTTTTTATTCTTGTTTGAAATTCTGATAGGATGGGATTTATTTTTTTTGCTTCATTTAAATTTGGATCTCGATAGAAATCATAAACCCGTTCATTCTTATTGTTAATGTAGTTATCGAATACCATCTGAAAATCTTGTTGGTTACCATTCGATAACCAGTCTTTAAGAATGAATGTGCCGAGCATTTGCGTTGATTGCATCTCAAAGTCCAAATTCTCAGGGAAAAGTCTATGCGATAAGGTGAAAATATCTCTTGCCATCCTGAAGGTGGACCAAAATATACTTTTCGATAAGTTCATTCGATCGGAATTATCTATAGTGGCATTAAACCGCGTCTGAGAAGAGGAAGAGGATGAAGAAGAAATAAATGTATATGCAGGATAACAGTCCTTATTAAATTTCTTAAAAATAGACCCTATCTGAATAATGATCTCATTATTGACAATCATTATTTCTTCGTCATCATATTCCAATGATTCGCTATTAGAATTTTCTTCATCATCATTATCAGCATTTTCACTTTCTTGAAACTCACGATATTCTCTATTGAAATCAGGAAACAATTTTTTGACCTCATACTCGATAATTGAATGGTCATCATCGTCTCTAAAAATAGCGGACTGAGTTTTAGCCTTTTGCTTATATAATTTTTCAGTCTCTTCTGTTTTTTTACGTTGACAATCTTGCGCAGCAGAATACACGCTCGCAATTTCAGAATACAATTTGTCAATAATTTCCAAATCTTTGTCAACGAAAAACTGTCCACGCGAAACCACACGATAATATACACATTTGAGAACGGTGATGAGGTATTGAAGATATTGTTCAGAGTTCATTGGGGAAGAATAATTTTGAAATATTAATCGTTTTAGACGAGTCATTGTTTCTTGCGAACAGAGTTTTTCGATGGAATGATTGAAAATTTTTGTGGAGTTGCTCATAGTTCTTGAAATCTTTAATAAGGCCATCAGAATAGAATACACGAAATTTGTGTTATTTTTCTCATTGTGATGAAGATTGTTATCGTGACCATCGTGAACATTTGAAAAAATGCTCGAGTGTGCAGCGATTACTCGTACTCCGTATTTCAACTGATAGATTGAGGTAATTAATGGATGTGTGATATCTCGGAAAAGGGGAAAATTTTTCGAAAGTCGATTGATAAACTGAAAAGTTTTACTTTGGAATAAAGCTTCTCGTTGATATATCGATAAATCATTGTTGTAGATTGGTTTCTCGAGGTTCATTAAAAGCTCATCCATGTGTCTCACGTCAATCACATTATCACATAGATAACGGATATCCTTGAACAGGTCGATAAGTACATGATCAGATTGTTTTGGTCGTAATGTCATGTTTATTTCAGCCAATTTCAACTCTTGAGCGACATTCTCCAATTCTTTTCTTCGATTATCGACAATAGAATTTGTTGATTCTCCAGTGAGGTATTGTTGTATGTTTTCACGAACTTGAATCTCAGTTTCTAAGTTAAGCCGTTTATTGTCGAGAAATTCGTGGGTTAAACGAGATTCTGAGGTTGGATCGACCGGATAATTTGGAATGTATAAAGCAATAAAGCCGAGAGACAATAGTGTCCACGATTTTCCCATGAGAATATTCAAGTTATTATCTGTATTGACTGTAACTTCATCTATCTGGGGAGAAATTTCTTCAATTATCTGTTGAATTAATTGAATAGCTGGGATAAAATACGAATTTATTATTTCGTGGAATTTCGAATCAACGCCATTAGTTTCTTTGAGAATTTTTTCTGTCATTTGAAGCGATGGTAAAGTAACTGGTGACATTTCAACCAATAATGAATGCATATAATTGATGTATTTATCGTCGTCATTAACGTGATGGATTATATTATTGCTGTTTATTTTAGGAAACAATGTTGGTACTGTGCTACGCGTCAAATTATCAAGCGACTCAGATAGATTGTGAAATGTCTCGGCATCAAATTTTTCACGATGCGTTAATAAAATCTTCATAATAAACAATGGAATTATTATTAATAATGTCATGTTTGAGGAAATCTGATAATATCTTTTGAATTTATTATTATTCTTCTTACCTGAACTAACTGAAAAATTAAACAAGAGAGATCAATTTGGCATTTATTAATGTAGCAAGGCATTTCAGCTACGACCTGTTTCGCAAATTCATTGAGAAGAGAAAAATTCTCTCCATAGGATCCAATCGACATTTGTTCCAAGGAATTACTGATCATGAGTTAATGATTTTTCGTTAACGTTGCGAAATAAATAAAAAAGAACAGCTCAATAATTAACCAATATAGTGAATCAACGATGATACTCACGTGTAATTAAAATAGCAGCCAGTAAACACACTTTGAAATAGCCGCGAAGGACCCTGTGTTTTTTGGATATACTATATTGTTATTTATTAAAAATTATAAATCATTAATATTAAATATTTCCAATCAATGACCAATGAAAACTAATCTTCTTACATCGTTATTGATAAAATCGATCGACGATGATGACGATGAAAAACTTCTATCTCCATTTTCCACCGAGAAATACTCGTTGAAACTAGTTTGCCATAATCGAGCTTGCCATCCACAAAGTATTTCTTGAACAATGTTAGTGTATATAAATGAGGCATTTTCGCTCGATACTATATTACAAAAATAAATAAGTATTTATATATATTATATATGCATAATTTAAAAAAAAATTTACCGTTTGAATCTCGGCCATAAATCCACAGTAATCGTTGATGAGGAACGAAATCTAGCGGAGATCTCGTGGACTTTTGTATTGAGAATTCGAGAAGCTTGTTAAGTTCCTCAAGTATCGGGTATAATTTATCCTGAACCGTCCAAGAAAAAATTTGATTTACATTTTGTTATTATGGCGATTGCTTACATTAATGAGTATGCATGAGATAGAGCAATAAAGAATATAAAAAAAGGAATAGCAAATAAAAACCTTATCAAGCTTTGGATCTTCAAATGATCCAAGAAATTGAAGTTTGGCGAGTATGTGCATCTCTTTCACAACACTCATGAAATCAAAAATGGAATAAAGGTGCTGTTTTTGTTTTAGCAACTGCTGTTGTTGCTCGTGTGTTTTAATGACATTTATTAATGATGATGAGGCTTTTAGTTGTTTTTCTATTTGGTTGCGTATATGCTATTTTGAATAATGATAATCAATTGTTAATGTATGTAACATAAAAATTAGCATATTTTATATCACTTACAGATGGAGTTTTTTGAATGGAAACAAATAATTTACGCGATTCAGGAACTGAATGATAATTCTCGTCAATGAAATATAAAGTGACAATAGCGTCAATCAACATTTTTTTCGAATCTAAAAACACGCCGGCCATATTCGACATCATTAATTTTGGATCATCTATGAGTAATAAAAGCATATACGCGTAAGAAATATAGAATAGAAGAATTAAATCAAATAAAACAAACAGATTGTCCAATCAACCTTGTTTATTCTCATCATAAAAATCAAACAAATCCACGCCAACACCACGCAATTCTTGTTCCAAATCATAAAACTCCATCTTAGACATCATGACCGGATGAAATCTTTTCCACAGCAAATTTGTCGATATTCCCGTGTTCACATTAACCTCTTTTCGTAGCGTATCTACCAGGTCCAAAAGTGGAAGAACTGATTTCTCACCATCACCGCCAAATGTTTGAAGCAAGTCTTTGGAGAGTTGGTACATAAAGTCGAGGCAGTTTTTAATATTTCCGAGATTAAGTTTGGTAGTGGAAGTACATTGTCGCCAAAAGAATTCATGATAGTCCAAGAATTTGTGGATGAATAAAAACATCTGGAAAACAAACCAAATTGACTATTTAAATAAATATTATATAGAATATAATTACTATATAAAATTATCAAATTACCTCAGTGTTATAAAAGCCTCCGTTCTCCAGCAAATCACCTATCAATCTTCTAGACCCCTCAAAAAATGGGTAAATAGCAACCATCACTGGGTGTTCTAATTTCTTTTCATTACTATTATAATTCACTGGTAATTGCTGTTGTTGTTTCTCAATTTGATACATATAGGATTGTTGAACTATAGACAATCGCGAGGTATTTTGACGAGCTGCATGCTGATAATTGATATTCTCAATATATTCGTCACGTTTTACGCGTGTTAATAGTTCAAGTTCTTTAATTTTAATCAAATACATATTCCACAGTGTACGGATTCTTTCGTTATTTTCCATCCCGTTAACAAATACTTTTACCAGATCCGGATTATTTGTTATGTCAAGTGGCTAGATATATATTTTGATATATGAAATAGTTTAATTATTTAAAACAATATTGCGAAAATAATAAATAAGCCAGAATTTCACCTGATTTGCAATAAATCTCTCGTCCAAGTTTACTATTTTGGCTAACTGACGTTTGTGCTCGGCAATTTGTGCAGCCACAGGGTGTTGAAATAGATTCTCAAGTAGGAAATGGTGCATCTTTATAAAACCACATTCTGGCACAATATTAGATTTCATATTTGATGATAAATAATTTAACAAACGTGTGCACATATTATAGTCTTTTGTAGATATATTTTCCAGGAGATGTTGACTCGCAAAATGCCCAATCATATTACTATCAAAGTTATCATTAATACCAAGATGATGTTTCTGCACTAAACAATAAAGATACGCGCCATGAAGTAAGATCCTTCCAATAGTTGATTCTTCTCTGAATATATTTCCGCCAATAAATAAGGGACAATTGGTAGAAGACAACGAATTGATCAAAGTTGCCTCCTTAGATAACACCTGGTCTATATCGAATTTTTCAAGATGAACATAATCTTTTTCATATTCCAATGAATCATAAATTTGTTTTAAAGTGTTCTGTAAAGCAGGTTTCAATCCATCGCCGCGTTGCAATCTCTCGAGCATAATTTGAACAAATTTCAAATAATTTCTTGGACTAAGATTTTTTGAGATACTTTCCATTTCTTTATGAATTGCTCCAACGAGCAATGGTAATTTTTCTCCACGAAAACCAATTCCGTTAGTCAGTTTAATCAAATCTCGTGGATTTTTTGACCAATCAGCATTCAACAAAGATACTTCAACCCCACGATTCCGCATGGCGCGTGATAATTCACCATTTCGTGGATCAACAGTCATGAATAATCTAAAATTTTTGTGTGGTCGTATGATTTTCAGGTTGCCGTTATCATCCACTTGCCCTCGTTCATTCAATAACAAAAACCCGTTGGGTTCTATTACGGGATTCAAGCGATCTAGTACGGATGGATTGCAAAGATTCGCATTATCGATTAGAAGCCAATGGCCATTTTCTAGAGCATTGATTAACACTCCGTCAATCCATTCAAAGCGTCCAGAAACTGACTCATTTTCTAATTGTTTCAACGTCATTATTCTTTGAGATACTTTTGAATAATATGAATTGAATTCGAATAATTCGAAATTTGCTATACTCTGACCAACAATTTCGAGAATTCGATCGATTATCCCAAAATCAATAGTCTGTCTTTGATCCGAACTTAATTTATATTGATTTTCTAAGGTGAATAATAAATCATTCAGTTGACCGATAGTATGTAAAACCTGTTGTTTTTGCCCATCCATAGTCATTGAAAAAGGCGACGACACGGATTCTCTTAGTAATAATAAACTTTTAATAAGTTTATATGACAATTCATTTAATTCTTCTAAAAAAGAACGACGATGCCTTGCCAAATCCAATTGTTCAAATCCGCCCAATAATTCAATAGTATCCACGCCACTATTCATTGCATATTCTTCCAATTGGTTATCGGTTAATTGAGCCAGTAATCGAATCATGGATGTCTTGCCGGAAGCTTCAGGACCATTCAAGATAACCATCCAATTCATCTCTACACACTTCATGATTGCCTGTAAAGGTCGTAAATCTGATTGCAGTAAATGCAATTGATGTTCTAAACTTTTGCTATTCATACGAGAAATTTTTCTTGGAAGAATAGAATTTCCGATTTGCAGGTAATTGATATCAATATGAAAACTAGGTTGTTTTGGTTGTTCGTATTTTTCCAAGTCAAAAATTTGATTGTATAATGAAATAACATGGTCTCTGTCTTCAGCGGTTCTCATTCTTTGCAAATAAAGTAAATCCAAGTAATTGCTAGGTTTAGCTTTAAAATCCAATCCAGAATCTTTTCGCATAAGCTCTAACCAGCGAATTACGTCACGAAGATTAAACTCCCAAGGACTTCCTCGATGAGCAAACTCACAAGAAATCATAGTACTTTCATAGATACGTGTATTGAACTCTATCATTCGAGACAGGGCTGACAAATCAATTTCAGAGAATAAACTTTGTGATATATAGATCATGTCTTCTTTCGTGAGCTGTTCGAGGTAAACCTTGATGAATCGATTAACGAATGATTTTGGTAACCCTTTTCGTCCACCTCCTTGTTGAAATGGGTTTTGAGCACCAAATACTCGAAATTCGTTAGCACAGCTAAATTCCCGGTCTAGTTCGGGTATATAGACTGAACCACGATGGTCTAAACAAGAATTTAGACCTTCAAGTACTGATTGCGATGCAAGATTCAATTCATCCAGTAATACCCAATCTCCAGCTCGCATCGCCTGCAAAAAGGGAGCATCTCGCCATGCAAATTCACCGCCATGGCCTCCTTCAACTGGCAAATCAGAACCAAATAGATCCATTAAATCCGTTTGCTCTGAAAGGTTAATGCGGATAAGTCGATGACCAGATGAAGCTGCCAAAGCTGAAATTAAGCTAGTTTTCCCAACCCCTGGACTACCCTCAAGTAAAATTGGCTTTTTGAGTAGCATTGCACGCAGCACTCGAAAAACATTGTCAAATGTTGTTGGAGCTTGCAACTGAAACTTAACCGTATCGTAATCACTACTTAAAGAACCTCTTTCAATATAAAAAGGGTTAATGCCAAAATGGGTCGAAGTTGAAATAATTTGATTTTCAAAGTTATCTACAATTTCACCATCATCTTCCACAAGTTGTGATAACTTTTTGATGCATTTATCACGAAATTCTTTATATAATACATCTGAAACTGCTAAATCTGATCCAATTCTATCCAACAACACCAAACATCCACCTTGTTTAAACGCGACGGATGGTTTGAATTTTTCATTCAAAGTGGTAATATTCATAAAAGAAACCCAAGTCAAAATATCCCTTAAACTCAATATTTCCCGGGTCTTTACAACGGACTGAGAATAATACCATTCAATAAACGTGAGGATACGTTCTCCGTATCTAAGTAAACTTGAATTATTGAATTGTGTGGTAATAATTTTCAATAAATCCTCGCGGTCAGTTACGGGAGGAACCCATATTTCAGTGAACCGATTTCTTAAAGCGGGTGATAATTCTTTCTTGCCGTAATCACCTCCAGGATTCATCGTAGCAAGAAATTGAAATTCATCATGAGCATTTAATTCTTCGACGTATAGACCACCTTTTTCTGGTAATACGAGTAATCGATTCGATTCGAGCACACTATTTAATCGCTCTACTACTGAATCATCCGCTAAAGAAATCTCATCCAATAGAAAGAATTCGCCTTTTCTCATGGCTTTAATCAATGCTCCGTCATACCACTGAAATAATGCTCGGGCTTGTTGACATCTTGTTTGTAGTGACGATATAGTTTCATTATGATTATGCTGCATAACTTTATTCCCTTTTATGCCATTTTCAAACAAAAAGATTAACTGATCTAATTCTGTATCATTTGTACTATTTTCTTCTGACAACAGATGCGTTCTCAGAAATGCAATTAAATCATTTTTGAGTTCTGCATTAGAATTCGCTTTATTTCTCACGGGCCTCTGACCCCCAAGTAAATCCGAAGTTTCAGTATTTTGATGGCAATTTACAATGTGTATCGCCTTATTTTTCGCTTGCGCAATCATTTGACATACCGTCGTTTTGCCACATCCGGTTTCGCCAATTAACAAAACAGGCTCATTGAATCTTAGACAATGAGACACAAGTGTGAATAATCTCTTCATTGATTTCGTCCATACTATATCATTTTTACCAAGTTGTCTGATCGAGTTCAAGTATTGTTGATATTCATTCAGATTAGTACAATCATATAATAATTCCTCATTAATCTTTACTTTCATGACTGTTTCTAAAACATTTTTAACAAGAAGTTTCTCGTCTGGCTTTCGTATTCTTTCAGCTAATAACATATAACCGTGTTCAGCTAGTTCCTGATAACCGACAGCGCCTCTTTCAGCCCAGCGAAATAAATCTCTTAAAGTAATATAGCCATGCTTTTGTTCGAAAATCCTTGTTCCTTGTCGCTTCTCCATCAATTGTTTATATACTTGAACAAGTTTTTTACCATATGAAGGAGCGATTCTACATCTCTCTGAAAGAATAGTTTCCAATTCCTCATCGGGTATATCATCGAAATGAAGTTCCAGAAATCGATTACGAAACGCACGCGACAAAACTTTTCGTCCACCATATAATCCCGGAGGATTTTGTGTAGCGAATAACATAAAATCTTTGTGAGGTTCAATAATTTGCTGAGTCTCTGGAATCATTAGTTCCCTGTTGTCGTCGAGAAGTCTGTTTAACGCTTCAAGAACGTCCGAAGGGGCTAAATTTAATTCATCGAGAACTATCCAATATCCATTCTTTAGCGCTTCAACTAGAACACCTTCTTGAAATTCTAATTTTCCTTCACTATTGGAAACATAAGTTCCGAGATACTCTTGCAAGTCTGTATGTTCATGATTATTTATCCGTACAAATCGATGACCGGTTCTTTTCGCCAAATATTCAATCATACTAGTTTTCCCAGCAGAAGTTGGTCCTTGAATTAATACCGGAAATTTTTTACTGCTAATCACTCTTGCCAGGCTATTTAATTTTTCTTTTACTGATTTTGTCAATATATAATGTGGCATTTCTTCAATTGGATAACTTCCACGTTCAAGCCAAAAATATCCAAATTGAATATATTTTCCATTTAGATCGTTGGGAGGTTCACGCGGAATTCGAGAAATCAATTCATGTGGATTTTTAACTCCCCTTAGTAAGAATTTTTCAATCAACCCACGCATAATTATTTCACTTTCTTGATTCAATTGTGTCAAAAAGGTCATACAGAATCCTTCATAGATTGAACGTCGAAATCCATAAATTGGCATGATTTGTTTGACGTAGATTAAAGCACGAGCAAGCGTTCTCATGCTAAAATGTGGTCGTTGGTTAGCACCATCCGCAAGTTTGTGCTCCGTTAATAAATTTTTAGCTGTCAAATAAAATTCGATAATATCCATAGGAGCATGTTCATCACCATGTAAGCATCCCATGAGATATTGTTTAACAAATGCAAGTAAATCCTCTTGATTTGTATCAGGAGGGTGGACGTAAAATTCAGTAAAACGATTACGTAAAGCAGGTGGTAAATCTCGTTTTCCCACATCAGTTGCAGGATTCATACAAGCGAATATCCGAAAATTAGGATGACGCTTTATCACTTCAGTATCCCCTTTTTCCGTTAATAAGATTGAACCTTGAGAGTCCTGTAACAATCCGCTGAGACATTCAAGTGTTTCTGTTGATGCCAAATTAATCTCATCCAATAGAATCCAATCGCCGTTAATGACAGCCTTGACCAATGTTCCTTCAACAAAATTAAACATTAATTTTCCTCGAATCTGTGTATGCTGGTATTGAAATTTATTCACCGAATCAGCGAGATTTTTCCATCGTTGTCTTAATTCTGGACTCGCTGACTTCGAAGATTTATTGTTGCTATTCTCTTCCCGATCAAATTCATTATTAAATCGTTTCTCAGCCATTTCAACAGCCTGCATTAATAAGGTAGCAAATTTCTCAAATTTTCTTGTGACATACATTTTTCTCACCATATCCAAAAATTTTGGATTTCGTTTAATAGAGAATGTTCTTTCAAAAAGAACATCAAATTCTTCCTTTAAGGGTGTCGCAAGAACTTTGGCATCGACCGGTTTAAATCCTCCGAGTAAATCACTACTATCACTTTGTTGTGATAGGTTAACCACCACGAGATTTTGCTGCAATAAATCAGCTAAATGTTGTATTACGGTAGTTTTACCTGTGCCCGTTTCACCCACCAAAAGAATTGGTTCACATAAATACACGCATACTGCTATTTTTTCAAGTAATCTTAATGCGTGTGATGTGTTTGCAAAAATTGTCCTTTTTCCTTTTTTTGATTTTGATAATAGTAATTGATTCTTTTTATTATTATTGCCAAAAGGTTTTAAATTTGCACGACCAATTGTAATCAGGTATTTACTGATATCCAATGTTGGAATATACGCGTTCACATATGAATGTATACGCTCTTTTGGTATCAGTAATGCCTCACCGACATATTCTAATGCTTTTATCCAATCTTCATAGTCAGAAATCATTCCACAGAAGCAATCTGCCGCTTCACTGAAAAGATCCTCACGGGTTTTTTGATCAAGTCCTTCGGACGTGATAAGTTCTGACCTGTTTCCTATTAAGATGCTAATTCTATAGCACCATTTCATTAAATCACGCGTTGAAATAAACCTAATAGCCGACGATGATCTCATTCCAGAAGAATTAAACTTTTCGTATAATAAAGTGATAGATTTAAACACGTGTATTATACTGGACGATAATTCTTGTAAATTAGGGAATCGAATATTAATTATATGAACTAATTCCTCAAAATCAAGATTATCGATTTTCATTTTTGTCCAGAGATTATAACCCATAATATTGTTGCTATTGCTATTAGAATATTTTATCGATCGACTATCCTTTTCGTATAGATTGGATTTCTCTGGCAGCAAACTTTTAGTGGCGAATATTTGAAAACCTTCTTTTGCCTTGATTACTTCGCCTCTGCTAGGAATAAAAAGTTGACGTGTTTCTAGTAATGGAATTAACACTGAAATGACTTCAGATGGGGCGAGATCGATATCTTCTATTAGAATCCATCGACCCTCGCGTACTGCTGTCGTTAATACGCCCGGCTGCCATCTGAAAGAAGCCGGCGTAGACGTAGAAACATAGGTGCCAAGTAATATTTTTGAGTCAGTTTGGTCTCCAATATGTATTCGAAGAAGGGCTGAAATCAAATAAATGTTATATATTAATTGAATAAGTAAATGAAGTAAACAAAATATTTAATTATATACTTTCGGCTCTATTTGTTGCATTAGCAATTTCTTCTACTAATGCAGTTTTTCCTGAACCTATTATTCCTTCAAGCAAAACAGGAGCACCAATAGAAATAGCTAAAGCGATTGAATTGATATTACGCTGCGTAGTCTTTGTCATAACAAGTCTTTGTAATTCCTTTGATGAATTATTAACAGACGACGCGTTATTATGATGAAACTTTGGGAGTAAAACTCCACAAAGATTAATGATATTTGAAGATAAATTAGATTCCATAAAGAATCGATATTTATTATCTTTTTGTAGATCTTCTTGATGATTAAATTCATTATTAAATAAAGATAATTGCGCCGATGCAATATTTTCTTGTTCTATTAATCTTTTTTCAAAAAGAAATAATCGCATTAATATAAAACACGAACGCTAACACAAATATCTTATTGAATTATATAATAACAAGCGATGAGTAAACGCACGTCAACATTCCAAGATCTAACATTCGTCCGTTTTCCCATTCCACTAACATTTTTTCGTTATTTTCCGAATCTTCAACCCATCGTTCAAAAGCTTGATGCCTTTGACTATCACTCATATTAAGTACATGACTTAGACAACATATCGTCAGATATCGAATCGAAAGATTTGAATGAGATAATAATTTATATAGAGGCGACCAATCCCATAATTGTGAAAACGTGTCCTTTGAAAAATTTAATAGCCGAAAGGAAGTTATTAAAAGATCTTGCAGGTATTTTGTGGATGTTCCACTCTGTAAATAAATATAAGTTAGATCGTTTTTTTTTTTAGTGAAAATAATGATATAATAGGTTATAGAGACTTTAATATTTGATTCGTAGAAATTAAACCTCTCAAATAATGATGGTGAACACGTAAAGAAAGAAACTGCCAAACTGTTATCAGATAGTAAATATTAGTTATAATTATCATCCACGTCCTCATAATATCTACGCGTTATAAGCGACAAAACCTTACCTTTTTAATTGAGGCGCAATCGGTAATAAAAGACCAAAGGAATGTGCGACGCATTCAACTCTAGACATTAAACTATTATCATTTGCAGGGTCAAACGAAGCATCGAATATTTCGGCACTTTTATTATGAATACTATTGTAATTATTTTGTGGTAGTAATAGCCATCTCGCAACCAAATCAATTAATAATGGTCGAAAGAAATTTGCGATATGAAAGGTAAGAGCAGGAATCAGTAATAATTCTGAAATGCAGCAAAATAACGATGATATCAAATATCCATTTTTATTATTATCCTCTTCATTATCATTTTTAAAATAGGATATAAATTCTGTTAATATTTTTTGTTGCTGAATATTAATAATAGGCTGCAGTGGATTTTTTGTTTGGATTTCATTGATTTTAGATATTAGCTTCTCTGTTGAAGTAATTAAGTTTGTGGATAATGGGTCAAAAATGCCGGATTCCAGTTTTTGGTCAAATTGCTGGTATATTTCATTGTTATTGAGTGCCTCTGTGTTTTCTGAAAAATTATACTTGAGTGAGCTTATTTTGGTTTCCATTTTTCGAATTCGTATCTAATTTGTGCGAGTAATTCAAAGGTGCCCTTTCTACTACCACCACTTTTAAAAATTCGAAATTCTGTAAATCAGGCAAAAAATAATGAAAATTTTAAATCATGAGTCATAATATCTAAGAAAAAAATAGTTTGCCTATCGTAAATTTTTAAGCGACGAAAATGAAAGAAGGCGGTAGCCAGCACAAGTTTAAGTCTTTCTTGACGCGAATCGACAACATTGACATCAATGTAAGAAAACTTGGTAAACGAAAAACGGAGAAGCTGGAGTCCGAGGTATTTAAATTCGGATTTATTGAAGAATACTTTCTGTACGCAGACTACTTAAAGATTTTATTTTCGCGATAATAATAGGAGGTCACCTCCTTCTTCAAAGAATCCTTAGAGTCCTGGCGCGAGTTGAACCTAACTGCAAACTTTTGTGCTTTTGTTCGAGAAGTTTACGCCTTAAGCGAAACGTTAGTGCAAGTCGTACATCATGCTGAAGAAATTGTGATGCTTTTGGAAAAACACCTCCAGATTGAAAATAGTATGGCTATTGAGCCATTGCTCGAGTATGTAAATTGTCCGTTATGTTATTGTTATTGTTGGATAATTAGTAGAAAAGTGATGTAATTTTGATGTATAGTTTGACAGTAAATTTAGCGAAAGATCTCGGCGAGGATTTTTATCCTTATTATGAAAATGTTCTTACTGTTGTGCTTCATTTGGCGAAACAACGAGATGCTGACATTCTTGAGGTATTTATGCGTTTGATAATGTAAATAAAACAGCTCGAGTTTTGCTATTCCCATTCTTCAATTAATCAACAGTAATTAATGAAACATAATTCTAAATGTTTTTAAATAGTGGACATTCAATTGTGTCGCTTACTTGTTCAAGATTCTCGTAAAACCAATAACGAAGGACTTAAAGACCACTTACAAGTATGTTAACATAACATTTAGTAAGGCCGCCATATTAATTCAATATCAATGAATATATTATACGATTTTACTCTATTTCGTATTTATAAACATAGTTTACTAGCACCATTGCTTGGCGAAGTGCATTATGAGGTGTTTATAAGGAAATTCTCGGCACAGGCGTTCTCATTCCTATTAAGAAAAGTGAGTGGATCTGACCTTGAGGATTTCGTTCAATACATGTTTCAGTCCTTGAAAGACCAGCCGACCCAAGAGTATTATGAGGGTCTTAGTATGCTATATAATGAGACTATAAAGGTAAAGAAATTCAAACTTCAAGCACATAAGATATTGATTAGGAATATTAATTATGATTGATGCATCTTTTCAATCACGTTTCATCAAAAATAGACAGTCAATACACGTCTTCATTCAAAAGCCGTAACCATGATCCAAACATTGTTATCTGTGCTGTATAGAGAGTTAAATCTCACTAACTATAAGCATAATGATACGTTCGATTTCGAAGCAAACCTGACTTTTCGCGTTCTAAAAAACACAATAATCTCATTAATTCATTACACAATTGCCGAGTACTTTACACCCGTGTTGGAGTGCTTTCTGGTAGAATTACAGACGCAGGCGAATTATTTACGATCAAAGAACAATCAAGCGGACATGGCACGAATAATTGTCAATTTATCAATGTGTTTTGTGTGTATTACTACGAAGCAGGGATCATGTGTTTCGGATATAGAACGCATATTCTGCGTAACTCGGAATCTCGCGCCTTATCTAATAATAAAGAATGAATCAGATCAATCGAATGGTGTCGCGAAAACGGCTCAACATCAAATCGTAAAACTTAGTCTTTCTTTACTTTTATGTGCTGATGAAAGTACAGTAAAAGTATCCGGGAAAAAATTGATTAATCAAATATTTGAATGTAAAGATGCGGATGACGTACTATTCTTCTCTTTGATGCTCTCAAAGCTCAACTTTGATCAATACTCATCTCTTGTTATCCCGAACATTATTAAATTCTGCGCAAAGTATTGGAAAAGTGATCCCGAAAAATTCATCCTGTTCCTCTCTTACATGATTTCAACTGACGGTTTCAAGAAACTAAAGAATGTCACGAAATCACAATTTGTGACTGGTAAAGGATTAATCAAATTTCCGATCGACAACAAAAATAATGAACTCTCCACACAATTTTTGCAAGTTCTCGAAAATAATTACGAATGGATTGAAGAAGCAGAATTGTCGAGTCATTTTGATATGAATGAAAATTTAATACATGTTCCGAAGATATGTCTTGTCGCGTCTACGTTACAAATAATTCCTGGGCTTGAACTCGAGTTCTCTGAAACGATTAAGACTCTCACCTGTCTGATAAATTCCCTAGTCAAAGCATTGGAAGATGGCACTTCTTCAAAGTATTCTTCTTTCTCGCCATTGATTGAACGTCAATTTACTCGTGGATCACCGTTGGTAATTTTAGAAAACCTATTAGGTCTTGCAATAGAGACTTTCACTAATGTATGTGCACCAATGGGTAATCAAGGAATCATGTCAATAAATATTCTATGGAAGACAGTTTTTTACCGTGTGTTGATGAAATATAATCATAATGAAGTTATCCTACGTGCTGTAGAAGGATTTCTGAGTCTTTTACGCACAAGGTGAGTTTAAAATTTTTGGGCTAATTTATTATCTGCATTTGCATAACTCATTTACAAGTCAGAACATTTTCTTTTAGTACAAAGTATTCGAGTCGTTTTGCTTGCGCATTTTTAGCTGAAATTTACCCGATTCTCAAAACGAGAATCAATTCATTTGGACATTATCATCGGCTCTACACGTTGAAAATTCTTAGTCTTTTTGATCAATATAGTCTTAAGCCGATCGAAAATACAAAAAAGTCAAAAGCGCAACAAGAAAACTCTATTTCTGCCGACCGACAACCCTGTGAGGTCTTCAAAATAGCATTGGCAATTGAGCAAATTGTGCCCACAATAGATAATTATCGCGAAAAAATAATAAAACTAAAGAATATGGTGAACCTGGTCACTTCTGGACGAGTTCCCGCATTTTATATTGAGGTGTTACCGCGTGTTTGTTTGGGATTTTTTACTTACAACCTCAGTCCACTTTGGCCCGAAGCGGTCAAAGCACTCGTAAAAATTGCATATCTTGACGAGAAAATAGTATGGGATCTTTTATATTCAGAATTATCCCGGTTCAAAGATCAAGCTAACTTTGCGGAACATAAATTCTCTTCAACGACCTTGACTTATTATTTCAAGGAGAAGGAGAAACAGAACATGCCGCCGAAGGCTTTAAAGATAATTGGAGAATTGACATTTGAATGTCCACATCTGAACAAATATAATCAAATAATTAAAGAATCAGAGGAATTCTTTTCAGCTCGAATGAATAATAGATTCTTGATGCATTTTATCTCTCTCTGTTCTCCCAGCACAGAAAGATACGATTATTGGAAATATTATACGCTGCTTATCAATACCTTGACTGAAGCTCCGCATCTCGCTGAACATAATACCATCAAGATTGTGCCATTCTTTCTAGAATTTGCATGTTCGGACATGGATATAGAAAGCGACACTCGGGAGAACACTGAAAACATGGACATTGATAAAGAAGAATCCATTAATATATTGCAACGGACACCTAAAGCTTGTAGAAATAATCTAATTGCATTTTTAAAGTTATTTACAAAATTCAAAAATCCGGCAAAGGCACATCAATCAGAGGAATTAGAAGCAGTTTTTATGCAACTTTTGAGTAATGGCGATCTGCAATTACAAATGCTTTCACTTAGTTGTTTGTTGGCGTGGAAATCTCAAAATGTAATTCCTTATGAAAACAATCTCAGGAATTTGCTGGATGAAGCTAAGTTCCGAGATGAATTATCCACATTTTCTCTAAGCAAAGACGAGAATGGCGCTATCAAATATGAGCATCGGGAAGAGGTCATGGAGCTAGTGCTTCGAATCTTGTACGGACGAATGATCACTCGAAAGAATAAAGACTCAGCCAAGGGTATGAAAGCACGTAGGATAGCGGTTTTGGTGGCATTGAACAATTGTCGCATACACGAATTGAATACACTGATTGATTTGATTTTACAACCATTCGCGGAAGTTCGTAAACTTTCAAGAGTTGTTAAAATGCAATTTGCTTTCAAGGATATCAATATCAGCAAATTCGTATCACATAGAAAGCAAATTGGGTACTTAAATATGCTCGAAGATTTGCTGAAACAGCTGGGTGCACATATATTCATATTTATACCTGATCTCTTTAAAATACTTTTATATATTGTCCACGATGCACAAAAGAAATTGACGGCTGATGTTGATCCGGCTCAATTGCACAACATCAATCAGCTCAAATCTATTAGACAGCTCGGCTTTAAAAGGATGATTCAATTCTTTGAGCTGCCTGGATTCTTCGATTTTACTCCATATATGAAAGCGATGTTTGATTCGTTCATATCACCAAAGCTTCCGAAATGGGAGTTGGAAAATACTCAAGCACCTTCTGCACTGATGGAGCTTTTTGCAACTTGGTCATCTCGAAAAGAATATCTTGTTTTTTTTACAGATTATAATAATGACGTTCTACCGAAACTGTTTGCTTGTCTTAGTGCAAAAAAGGTGCAACATTCGGTATATTCGATGATTCTAGATATTATAGAGAATATCTTAAAAATATGCGACAGCGAAGAACCTGAAGACATAGAAAATTTGTTAACAGATAAACTATTCGATGACAAAGACTTCGCCGATCTAGAAAACGAGTTGGCAGATCAAATTTGCGAAGATGGAGACTCGGACAACACCGAAAATTCGTTAACGAATAAAATTTTGAAACCACATGTTTCATCACTATTTGATCATCTCGAGTTTGTCATATCAAACCCATCATCATCTCAGAAAGATAGGTTTGCAAAGCGGGAAATTACTATACTGTCACACATTGCTGGATACGTGAACGATTCAAAACAAGCGAAGAGATTGATTGATCTTTTGATGCCGTATTTACGCAAGCCAACACATATTATATCGGAAAAAACTAAGTTAGATATTCTCTGCATCTTTTTGAATATTGGAACCTTGATACCTGGATTCACCAAAAACGGTCGATATTATAATTTGATTTCTGAACTTTTTGCTACTATTGATAGTAGAGAATGTAGAAACATGCTTATCTTAATCTTCAGAGAATTTGCAAGCAAAGAACCTGAATTAAGCGTAGTTGCAGGACTCATCTCAGACCTCAATAGTTATTCGACTAAAAATTTAGATGCTCCGGATTTTGACACACGTCTAAATGCCTTCAATCGAATTAACACCGAATTGTATCAGAAATTTAGAGTTGTCGAGTGGACTCCAGTGCTTTATAATTGCTTACATTTCACCCAAGATCCAGAAGAGTCATCGATTCGTAATAATGCATCATTCACGTTGAAGCGATTTATAGATCGTCTCAATGAGAATATTGCAGATAATGTCGAAAAATGGAACTTTAATTCAACAATGATTAATATTATATTTAAGGGCATTAAGCGAGGTCTAAAAAGCAGATCTGAAATCGTTCGCGTTGAATTTCTATCAATTCTTTCACACGCCGTAAAAAATTGCTCAAATCTTCCACAGCTTGCCGATATGCAATGTCTATTATTCAATAATGATGAGGAAGCCAATATATTTAACAATCTTTATCATATTCAAATTCATCGTCGAATTCGAGCGCTCACTCGATTGGCTAATGAATGCACGTCTGGGAAATTAAACAATAACACTTTATCACAGATATTTATACCATTAATCTCGCATTTCATCTTTGAGGCAGATAAAGTTACAAATCACAATCTTATTAACGAAACGATTACCACATTGGGAGCAATTTCTTTACAATTATCATGGCGAAATTATTATTCCTTCTTGAAGCAATTCTTGGGTTTGATGTTTCATAAAAAAGATTTGGAGAAAATTCTTGTGCGTACCGTCATTTCAATTCTGGACAATTTTCATTTTAATATTTCATCGGCAAAAGTTAATTGCTCTCAACTTGAATCCAACACGACGCCCTTAAATGACACTGCTAGACAAGATAATAAAAATATTAATGAAAACGAGGAGGAAAATGAAATGGTAATGGATGGAGATAATCAAGTAATGGAAATAGATGAAAATTCAACCGCGGAAAAAATACATGATGCTGTTGTCAACTTTATTTTACCCGAGTTGAAGCAGTATCTGACTCAACGTGATAGTGAAAATATCACTATACGAATACCTATCGCTTTAGCAATCACAAAACTCTTAATCGCCTTACCAGAATCTTCGTTACGCATAAATTTGCCCGGATTACTTACTACCATTTGTCAAATTCTTCGAAGCCGTAGTCAAGACGTTCGCGATACGACTCGAAATACACTAGTCAAGATTTCTAATCTACTTGGACCCATGTACTTTTCATTTATAGTCAAGGAACTAAAAGCTGCACTTACTCAAGGTTACCAATTACACGTTCTTGGTTACACTTTACATTCTCTCCTTTTGGATTTAGTGCCTAAACTAGAAGCGGGCGCGATTGATTACTGTGTCGACGAGGTTACGGAAATATTGATAAATGATATTTTCGGCGAAGTAGGCCAAGAGAAAGATATTGATGAGATTACAGGGAAAACGAAAGAAATGAAATCAAAAAAGAGCTTTGATTCTTTCGAGTTGCTAGCAAAAGTCATCGATTTTCGAAATATTGGCATTCTATTATTACCATTGAAAAATATCATGAGAGAAACTCAGAACGTTAAAATTCTTATTAAGGTGGATGAAATCTTGCAAAGGATTTCTAGTGGTCTTAATGTTAATACGAATATTCCAACACTGGAAATGATGTCTTTTTGTTCCGATCTCATTTCCCAAAATTTAGAGATGTTACAAAACGGACGAAAAATTAAAGAAAAGAAGACCAAACTTGAGGAAAATTTCACTGTTCAGTCGAGACAGCCGATTGCACAAGCTCCAGTCAATTATCTTTTCCACAATGGTTATAAATTTGTGGAATTTGGATTTCGATTATTATTGGTGGCTCTTAAGCGTGGCAAGATAGACACGAAATCTGACGAACATTTAAAACAGCTGAATAAATTTGTGGACACTCTCGGTGATGCTATTTACTCGAAACACACAAGCATCAATATCCTCGCATTAAAGATTATGTGTTTGATATGTAAATTGCCTTTACCATCGCTTCAGAGTGCTTTTCCTGTCCTCGATACTCAACTAGTAAAGCTCGCTAGTGACTCTGATGCTAGCACTGAACTTGTCCAAAATTGTTTCCGTCTTTTGACCGTTTTAATGCGCGATTGCCAGCAACGATTTAACATAAAATTGAATGCATTGAAATATCTGGTAAACCTTATTCTACCAAACATCGAGGAACCAGAAATGCAACCAACTCAATTTCCCTTGATTCGCGCTATTATAACTCGGAAATATTTGTTACCTGAAATATATGAGCTAATTGATAAGCTAAAGGAAGTCATGGTCACAAGTCAAAGTGCAAATGTCCGAGAACAATGTCGAATAATTTTTTTCAACTTCTTGCTTGATTATCCACAAGGCGATACTCGACTAAAAAAAGAGATGAACTTTTTAATTGCTAATCTCGAATATGAATACGAAAGTGGCCGACAATCCGTCCTGGAAATGCTTAATTCTATACTCCTAAAATTCCCTGTTGAAATTACAAGACAATATCTTCAGGGATTATTCTTATCTTTATCTTTACGACTAGTAAATGATGACGCAAAGAAATGCAAGGATATGTCGGGAGAGTTAATAAAAATGATGTTTAAGATAATGAGCGAGGATCAACTGGACAAGACTATCAAACTGTTGAATAAATGGCTAGACCTGGATAATCAACCAAATTTCCAAAAAATGTCATCTCTTGTATACGGACTTTTTGTTGAAGAATTTGATGTAGAATCTTCTCGATATATACCCGAATTACTTGTACGATTAGCAACAATATTGACTGCAAGTCGTGATCGATTAAAGGCGATCGAAGAATCAAATGATGAAGACATGGAAATTTCCGACTGGGAAGCTGCTTATTGCTCATTGAACACTTTGACAAAGATAATGCAAATATTCCCGTCGCAGATATACACAGAGCATTTCACGCCTTTATGGCCGTTAATACATGAACATTTGTTACATCCTCGCAATTTGATTGGACTTTCTTCAAGTCGAATATTCGGGAGATATTTTGCAAATATTGATCCACAAATATTTGGTAAAGAAAAAATTTTTTTCTATTTGACACCAGCAATTCTGAAGGACTTGGTGATGATGTTTTGTGAACAACTCAAAAGCCAATATCTCTCTGCTGAGCTTGCTACACAAATAGTCAAGAATCTTTTCTTTATAGGAAAATGTTTCTTTTATATGTATCGCACTGCTATTCAAACCGAATTAGAAACAGAGGCTGATGTCGATGAAGCAGCAACTATAAATCTTAATGAGGAAACCGAAACTAATAAAGAAGCCAGCTATCTGAGATGGCTCTTTAATAAGCTTTCTTATCAAGCAAGATCAGCTTCCACCAAAACATTAGAAAACATCTTACAGGTTTCGTATAAATAGTATAATCCGGTTTCTTTTTATAGCAACACAAATTCATCAAATTATTGATTTGTATTAATTTATTTATTAGTTACAGAGCATCTTTAAATGGTTTGCGTCAATGGTGATTTTCATGCCTCCCGAATCTGTGTTAATCCCCGATTTGGTACTTGTCATCTCTCCGATATACCGTCTAATAAACGACCAATCGCTACATGGCGAAGAACCAAAATCATTACGTAATCTCGGCCAAGAAATTCTTTTGCACGTACAAAATCACGTAGGCACAACGTTGTATCATAATGCCTATAATCAAGTTCGTAACCGAGCCGCAGAAATCAGAAAAGCTCGAAAAGAGCAAAAAACTATAAAGGTAATTAATTCCTTGTTCATTTTAATTTTTATTTCTTATTATTAATATTGTTTATTTTGTTATTTAAAAACCTTAGACGTTGGTTGATCCGGCATCTGTAGCTCGTAAAAGAATTAAAAAAAATGAAAATAAATCCAAGAAGAGACGGAAATTGGAAAATTATAATAAAGGTAATCAAAACTTCCTAATTCAAAATTTTCCAATTTGATGCAATAGTTGGAGTATTAGAATTACTTTTACCTAAAATACTTCATTCATTTTTCAATAAATACCGATCTTTATTTTGATTATTACTGATAATGAGAAATGATATTTTAGTCATGTGATCAATTAAATTCAAGAATTTCAAATAGAAATAAATAATAGTAATTAACCTAGCAAAGATTAATAAGTCATCCTTCTTATTAACATGATGGAACAAGATATTTTCATTATCCTAATTCTTTCAAAAATAAAGCAAATCGCAATTATATTTTTTTTAAAAATTAGATGAAAATCATATTAAATTATTTAAATAGAAAATTTTATTATTACTTTTTACTTTTTATTTTATTATTTATAAAATATATATGGTCCGGTGCAAAAATATAGATACATCAAAAAATAAAATTTTTAGTTGTCTCTAATGAAAAATTTGTAAAATCTAATTAATA